AAAAAAAAAAAAAAGAAGAAAGAAAGAAAAACCAAATAAATAAATAAATGAATGAATGAATGAATGAATAAATGAATAAATAAATAAATAAAAATAACAACAAAGGGCAAGGAGGGCATGTAACAGTCTGGACAGTCAAGGCCTGGAGCCAAATACATACTCTGCAAACAATCAAAGGGCCTCGGGCAGTGGTGCATCCCCTGGGTGGGATATGCAGGTGACCAGGATGTCATGTAGTCAGTGCCACAGCTGGGATGGCAGGTACTTAGCGGACTAGAAGGCTGGCATTTCCACCTTCACTGCACGTCTGTCTTCTGTACTTTAGGTCAGACTCCCGCTGAACTTGGCAGATAGAGGGTGCCTAACCATTCAAAGCGCCCCTCTAAGAACTACCAGCACCCACACTGTCTCATCCCCCTTCTAAGGCTGAGGACACAAAGATACGAGTCGTCCTGAACTTGCAGTCACCTTGGGTTTGGAAACAGTAGAACCTCACAGACAGATCTGAGAGATCATCCCAAAGCAAAGGCCATCATTTCATGGGAATGGATTTGTCTCTCTGGAGACAAGGATTTCTACATTCTATCCTAAAGAACCCAAGTATAGGTCATCTGCCGGGCCACAGGGAGACCAAGGCTGCTTAGCTACACATACCTCTGCCCTGCCCTGGTTTCTTCTCTATATAAAGTCGTGTCAATAGCTGGAAGATAAGATGAACTGTTCCTTTTCTATCTTCCCCAAGTGGCCAGTGTGATGCACACCGTTCTCCAACTTTTCACAAGGGCTCTTACCTCCGGGGCATGGAGTGGGCTCTGCTGTGTTTGAACCCCCAAGATCCAGCATCTGGCTGGGGACTCCCTTTGTTTCCTGACTACTGCTGACATGATTAGCTGGGAAGAGGCCCATCTTGGTGCCAAAGGTGTGGTATTCCAGAAGAAATCTCTACAGCAGTGGTTCTCAACCTGTGGGTCATGACCCCTTTGCGCGTTGAAAGACCCTTTCACAGGGGTTGAATATCACATATCCTGTATATCATATATTTAAATTATGATTCATTTCAGTAGCAAAATTACAGTTATGAAGTAGCAATGAAAATAGTTTTATAGTTGGGGGTCACCACAACATGAGGAATTGTATTAAAAGGTCGTAGCATTAGGAAGGTTGAGAACCACTGTCCTAGAGGACCAAGGAGGGCAGTCGGGGCCTGTGCCCCAGGACATACAGGGGATGGGTCTTGGTCCATGGGAGGCCACACAGAAAAGAGCAGCATGCTTCCAGTGCCTTCTGCTACCTGAGGATGCCATGTCCCTGTCACCTAGTCTCCACTTAGCACCACCTAACCCTGGAGCATCAGAAATAGAAACCAGCAAGAGCAGAATAAGGGGCAAGACAACAAGAAGGCCACTTGAGAGCCTGACGAGGTGGGAGTCCCCAACACTGATTACACTTAGCTTGCTTCGTGTACGATGCTAGAATCCCTATGTTAAAGAGGGCTCATGTTTTGGTGATGTTGGGGTCCAAAGACTTTATGAACACTAAGAAAGTGCTCTATCACAGAGCTATGCTGCCAACTCCTGATTTTTCTTTTAATTAGGAAATTATCAGAGAGTTACCAAAATATTAACAATAATTTTTTCCTGAGAGATGAGATTATGAACTGAATTTCTTATTGCTACTATATTTTCTATAGCACTTTACTTTTGCAAACACACAGCTTAAAGGAACGATTTTATTTTTGTTTTTATTTACGTGTGTGTGTCTGAGTGTGCATTTGAGCATGTGAGGGCAGTATGTGTAGAGTCTAGAAGAAGTTATCAGGTGCCCTGGAACTGGAGTTACAGGGGGTGACACTTGTATGTAGGCCCTGAGAACCAAACTGGGGTCCTCTGGAAGAGCAGCCAAAGCTTCTGACCAATGTGCCATCTTTCCAGCCCACAGGCAGCATTTTATAACCAGACTGAAAACCAAAGCAGCTCCTGTGCTAGCCTGGCACAGCTCTTGCCCCATTGTGCTGTGGGATGGTCTATATGTCAAATTGCTCTGATTGGTCAATAAATAAAACACTGGTTGGCCAGTGGCCAGGCAGGAAGTAGGTGGGACAAGGAGAGAGGAGAATTGTGGGAAGCAGAAGGCTGAGGCAGAGAGACACTGCAGCCACCGCCATGACCAGCAGCATGTGAAGATGCCGGTAAGCCACCAGCCACGTGG